CACCGAAATAGAATTAGATGTTAACCGAATAGTTCAGAAACACCGAAATAGGATTAGATATTAACCGAATAGTTTAGAAACACCGAACAGGGATTGGATATATATCAAAACAGTATTGATTTTTTTCGAATTATTTTTTCGCAAGCTCAAAAAAAATATATATAGTAACCAATATTTTTAAGAATCTATTAACTATGAGTAGCTTCGAGCAAGTATTGCGAGAAGGCAGGAATTCAGAAAAAAAAGTTCGATATCTGCGATCTGATACAACTCCTTTATCTGATGATAATATACAAGATATCATTAATGCTAGAAATTCGATGAAACGTGCATCAGAAGCTATAGCAAGCAAATACAAAATATCAACAAAGCGTGTATATCAAATATGGAGAGAGAATCATCCACTAATAGATTTTAGAGAAGAGGCATTGCGATCAGCTACTACTGTAGCTAGCTTAAGTGAAGATTCCAATCATGATGCTAATAAATTTGATTCTGCCTTCACAATACTGGAAAACAAAATACATGATACTAAAATTAGCAAATCTATTGATTCAGCTTCAGAAGAGAATGTTGTTTCAGATAGTAAGGTGAAAAAGATTGGAAGAAGAAAATCGAGAACCAAAACTGTTCGCGTTTCTGATTCTATTTCATCTACCGAATCTTCTGAAGATGTCTTGGATTTGTATAAGAGAACTAGTTCTGAAATAGAGAAAATTAGAGTATCTGGTCATGCCCTTGTTTTTAAATAATTATTCAACCTTATTTGGTCTTAGAGAAATCTTTTCATATCGGTCAAGCAAAATATTATAGTATCCTATGATTTCCAAATTCAATTGAATACTAGAAAATAATGCCTTTTCGAGCTCTTTTATACGAATTGTTATATCTCTATAATCTATACAATTTACGTACTTTTTTTTAAATCATCCTTACTAGTCAGGCTAGAGGAATCGGTGGATACTTGGACTGAATCATGCGGTGAGGATTCCTGAGAGACTATTTTCAGCTCCTCTTTTGGCAGATTCTTCGCTACTGAGGCCTTGCTGAAAGTTGGGATAGTGTAAGTCTTTCCATGTAACTTTATTTTGAATTAATTTTTATTTGGATCAAGAATACCTTGAATTTTTCTAATCCATGTCATACCTAAACAAAGCATTGGTTTAGGCTCACCATTATCAATATGTGCAAAATTCCTTGAAACTGTAACTGTTTTTCCTGCCTTATCTTTTATAGAGATTGGAACATCCGTAATCTATTCCAATGATTCAGTAATATGTTTCGAATTGTCACTCTTTATAGCA